GTGTAGAGTATTGGTCATGCAAAAAATATACTAGTATTTGGACGTGTTTCTCACAGACAATCGGCACACGTACATATTTGAGATGCAATTATAAGCTGGAGACATGCAACTCAGATTAAGATGGTCAGCGTTCAACGTATCCGATTTATATCAACGAAGGATTGGAAATTTATCGGAGCCCTGCTGAAGCCAGCCTCGCACAAAACACTGCAATAATTCACAGCATTTTTTATAAGTTACCCGTAAAGAGAGTAGCCAAAAACCGCCACACAGATAGGCATAATCCAAGAAAATTGCTAGCAGGAACATCAGTATGCAATCGGCAACCATCATTACAAACGCCCATCCAAACGGATACATGTACGCCGCATTTTCGAATATATTGTGCCAGCCAAGATATTCGTCTGCAAAAAAATCAACATAACGCACTGAAAACTCAAAATGAATCACTGCTTAATTTCTTTTGCGATCTGCCGAGATGAATATGGCATCACAAAAAAATCCCTTTTTACGGCCCCACAACCAATCTGGAACATGACCCAGGCTGGAATGCACAGGCTTGCCGGTGTTTTAGCACAGACTTGCATTATTCAGGTCGTTAACTGCATGAATGGTTGTTGCTTTATACCTACCTCTTGCGCTCACTAGCGTGAATCATCGCAAATTTTGTATAAAGGAAATGAACAATTCCTGCTCAACAGTCTTTCTTTGAAAATGACCTAGCTGTCCAGCGAGCAATTTTCCCGCCAAAACTTTCAAATGCTCATACTTGAGGAACACACATACTTGAAGGTTGAACATTTATGTTATACCTGGACAGGAACATTCTCCCAAAATTTCAGCTTTCTAGCTTTTCTGGTTTTCGACTTAGTAATTTTCTCGCCGAAATTTTCACATGCCCGTACGTAAGTACCACGTGTACCAAAAGGTGCACAGTTTTTGCAGCTCCTAATCTGAATTACCTGTCGCAAAAAACCAACAACAATAACTATGCCAAAAGTGTTCTGTCAGAAACGACAATTACCTGCTGGCAAGGCTACCGATGGTACCCTCTCCCAAGGATTGCCAAAAACAGCCTTTTGGAGAATATCTGGGAAGACACCAGCCATTGAAAAAAAGATCGTGCAATAATGCGAAAAGAAAAGTGAAAAATTGTACCTCGTCTCATGTAATCCTGCACGGATTTTAGCGCCGAAGTAAACGCATAGTTGATGTTTAGCGAAAAAATAATGTTGGGAAGCAGCGATCCGCTCGAGATTGGGACATTCGTTAATGCTAAAACAAACATATCAATAATAGTTACATACAGTTATGCTAAAACATACAATTATGTCTTCAACTCTGTTCAACTCAATTTTTCACTGACAAGAGCTGCGAGAACCATTCAGTAAGATTTGTTTTTTTCAGAAGCTTAACGATTTTGCCTGGAATTAGCAGAGTGTTTTCATATGGCTCGTGCTTTCATGGCTTTCTTGGACATGGAATTTTATTACGTGGACTGCAAAAGTGGTCAAGCACTCCACGAATAACGCAGTTCTTAGTGCGAGCAGACCCCGTGAAATAAATGAAATGCTGCAGGAGCATAAGGTTCGGAATATGTAGGAAATGAGACTGAAAGTTAATGCATCTGCGCCCCGTACCCCATGATGTGTCACAAAAAAATTAAAGTGTAAATGAGTGCACCTGTAACTAACAAACACTACCACATCATTCTTCATATTTTTGGATATTACAAAAAGATTTTAAATTATGAAAAGTCAAATAAAAAATTTCCATACCGATGCTAGCAAGCCATAAGAAACCAGCTCCTTTGACAGCCATTCCAGCACTACGGAAAATCGTGGAAGCAAACAATGCGAAAGTTACAATGCCCGCAGCATAAACTAGTATTGTTATAACAAACAAAGCTGGCAATACCATCTGAAAATTTGATGTGTTTCAAAAGAAGTGCTTAAGCAATGAAAAATTTACAAAAACGATGAAGGGAATTGTAGTTGCTGTGAACGCTCATTCACGATTCGCCGAATACCGAAGCAGATCTATTACAACCAGAAAATCCAATGTGCTATAAAATCCGTAGGAAACCAACTTCCTCTCCAGGCTAATTTTCGTCAAGAAAGCTTGCAAGCTAGTTATTGACAATCCACACGAACAGCTCGTAAATAAGAGAAATAGTTCATTTTGAAAATTCTAAAAAAAAAGCCAAGTATGTCATGAGCGCTCGGACTAAACGTCTATCACATGCAAGAAATGTTAATGGGATGCTCCCACACGCCGAACGCAAACTATGCCAAACCTTCCAAGTAGATTGCAGCTTTCAGGCCAACCCTGGAAGTGCAGATGGCAGGATGCACAAGTGCAGGAGACAGTAAAGAAGAGAGTGAGATAAGACAGTTCGGTCCATTAAGTCGTATACGTCTTAACTCAACATTGCGACTGGACCTCGTCAGTATGACGGTCGCAGTGCGTAAGGAAGACGAAAGAGGAGGGAGAAGGGGAAAGAACAAAGAAAAAAGAAGGAAGAGGGAAAAAGATGGACACTGAAGAAAAAGGGAGGTGGGGGGGGG